GTCGGGCGGGCAGTGATAACGGACACTAGATTTTGGAAGCTCTAACATTTTGCACACCTTCCCTCTTCATCTTTTCCCAGTTTTGCCTTCTTCTCACCATTTTGTACATCTCTACTTAACTAAGTACTCTTATAACTTCTCAACTCTTTACCAAAAATTTAGCTTGTTTTGTAGCCATTTTCATGGGGGATTCGTGTTGATTTGCATTGAACCACGGTGTTCGTGTTCGTAGGTTAGATTTCGTCATTCATTTGTTTCCAAATTTGTAAACGAAATAGTGAGAACGATGATAAGTTTTTAGGAATATTTTTCTTCTTTATTATATATCAAAAGTAGTAACGAAGTAATGGAGAGTTTTTGTAGGGACAGGGAATGAAATTGGTGGCGGGGTTGAGACGGGGAAAGCTTCCTCATCCCCATTTTGTCTATATCTCAAAATCCAACACTCGGGTGCATTGGGTTGTCGGTTTATTTTTATAATTATTCTAAAAAATTCAATTTATTTACCATACATGTTACACTCGAATATAAAAAAAATTAATAGTGATGAAGTCAAATATTTTTTATCTTCGTAATAATCTTTAAAATATGGGTCGGGTCGGGTCGGTAAAAATGGGCCGATGAGCCCAACCCAACCGGCCCAAACGTTAAACAATTTACATCATAATTAAATAAATAATAATTGAGAAAAAAACTCCAACGGTCAGAACCGACAAGCTGGGCACAAAGACGTTCACGAAAGAGCAGAGAATTCTCCAGCGTACTTAACGGTCAAATCTTCATCTTCTTCTACGGCTCATCTTCTCTCTATTTTGCGGTAGCACAACAATGGAAGCAGCAATGATCTACTGGAAAAATGTTCAATGGAGATTCGTGGAGGACGAACTGTACGAGCACATTAACGCACCGAAATGGGTTGATTTTACCGCGATTCACGACGCTGTCGATGATGAGGCCTGGTTTTGTCGCCCTGGTGAGCTTATTTTTCCGCTTGATCGATCTCTGTTCTTTACTTCTCTGGAGTTCTTCTGCTCTTTAGATAGTGATAAGTGTTGTTTTCTTTTGACTCTGTGTAGATTGTAAGCATCCGAAAACTGCTGAAGAGCTACTTCGAGTAACTCCTTCGAAGGTACCGATTTCTTTCGTGTTCTTTGATTTCGTACTGTTTGATTGGCAAGAAGTGTGGAAAGAATGTCAAGATTTTCTAGATTTGGTTGTTGGCGTTTCTGAGTTGAGATAATCTGACCAAATTAGGGCACGTAGTTCTTTTTTTCCTAAAATTTCTGGTTTCTTTCCATTGAAGCTTACAAGCCCGGGATATAGCTCTGAAACTGTTCGATTCAGTGATCGGAAGGGAAGGTACTTCAATGATCCAACAGTTTCAGTTTTAGCAGATTGCACATTTGGATCGATCTTCTTCATTCCAAATAGATCTGAAGTTCTTGTGTATTTCCTTTTTTGGGATAATTCAGAGATGGAAAGTTGAAGGGAAGAGGGCATCCTCAATCCTCAAACAATGAGAATCAGAATCCCAATTTCTCAACGCCTCAAAACCACACAGCCAAGGCTGTCTTCACTAAGGCAGAGATCAAATCCAGCACTGAGAAGAAGCCAATGGCGGAGGATGAACGACAGAACAATAATGGGGCGGCTCCATCGCTGAAAAGCACACTTTCAGCAAGGAACTTATTTGCAGGGCGAGATATTCTGAACCAAATTACAGAGTTTTGTAATGAGATAAAGAGAATGGCAATCAGGGTAAGGGAGGGAGAGGATAATAAGCAATTGGCCGTGGAGAAATGTGTAGAGAAGGAGGTTCTGTTGAAGAATTCGGTGAAAGAGAGGAAGCCATTTGGTGAACTCAGTGTAGAGAAATCTGATGGATCCATCAAAAACAGTGTGAAGCATAAGAAAAGAATCAATATGTGAGTAATTTTCTTATCAATCTTCTTGTTTTTGGACTCTGGTTCAGTTTATTCAGTGCCTGCTTGTCAATTTCTTGTTCATGTGTTAGGAATCACGACCCTCCACAATGATATGATTGTTGGATGAAAGTGTCCCACATTGGATAATTTAGGGAATGGTCATGGGTTTATAATCTAAGAATACACTCTCCATTGGTTTGAGGCCTTTGCCATGAGAGCTTAGGCTCAAAGTGGACAATATCCATACCATTGTGGAGAGTCATGTTCGTCTAACAATGATATTGTCCACCTTGAGCATGAGTTCTTATGGTTTTGCTTTTGGTGCCTACTTATAAATTCATAATCATCCCCTTTATTCAGCCGACGTAGGACTCCCTCCTGTTCTTTCGATTCATCACTCATTTTGTCAATAGGCAGATTGTTATTCCAGGATTAGTTCGATTTTGTCAATAGGGGCAGCTCATGATACAGAACTCAATGAAGTTCTAACAATGTTCCTGCAATTTCAGACCATGTTTAAGTGTTGTTAGCCAATGATGAGTTTATACAATACTTAATGCAGCCAAACTGCGGGAGATAGAGAAAACATCCCGATCTCTCTGGACTTGGAGAAGGTACGACGACACGAAAGAGAGGATACCGCAGCACTGCAAATCCGAACCAATCCACCGTCTCCTCAATGCTTTTCCATGGCACCAAACAAGATCACCCCTTCAAAGGGCACGAAATCTAGATTAAAGGTATGCTACTAAACAAGTTGATATTGATAATGATGATGATGTTCCTTGAAGTTGTGTGATTGAACATGTGTGTGTGTTTTGTGTTTAGGAGATGGAGAAGGACATGATTGTAGAATTGGGGAAGGAAAAGGTGTTAAAAGAGGTATCTTCTTCTTCTCCTGCTGTTGCTGAAAAAGAAGGTAGTAGAGCATTGGATGTTCTTTGGTTTCTCAAACCTTGCACTCTTTCAAACTAAAGAAATCCCAATAGGGTATTTAAGCGAGATTTGTGGTTCGGTCAAACTCGACCTATTCCACTCTTCAAGGGCCTTTTGTTGAATAAACTTTTCTCGATTCTTTCTTCGGATCAGGGCCCAATCGCTACACCGCTCTTCTTACGACTTCAAGAGTAAAAGAGCAATCAATTCTTTCTACGACTCAAGATCAAACCGATACAAGTATCTAAATTATTTTGTAGGAACACACCACAACTCTCTACAAGAGTAGATTTACAATTTGATCACTTGCAACTATTTCTTCGCAATAGAATAAAAATCGAGTCGATTGGAAGCTTGGAGAGAGCATGCTTGGAGGCTTTGTAAGCTTATTTCTAGATCTATAATGGAAAAAGGTTAAGATCGAAGAAATTACGAAAAGAATGAAAAATAGGATTTAATAGGAACTATATAAGGAGAGAAGAAATGTGAATTATTAAAATATTTTTATAATTATTGTGTTGGAAAGAAAAATAAAAAGTGGATATTTTTAATGTTTATTGTGTTCGTAGATAAAGGTGCATTAAATGTAAGGTGTCCCATAAATGTCAGTAAATGTAAGGTGGACCAAAAAAATTTTCAAATTATAAAATAAAATAATATAAAATTAATAAAAAATAATGTGAGTAACATTTTTATTTTTATTTTTAATTTTTTTATAATTTAAATGATATATGATGTTTTATACCAAATTAATCTGGTTTTTAAGTGTTAGTTTTTATTTCTAAGTAATTAAAAACTCTACCATTGTTTAAAACAAGTTCTAAATGTGTCGTACTTTGATTAGCGATGAGATCAATTTTGTCACTATATGTTTCGATTGTGACGAGCTCTGAATGATTGAAAAAGGTTTTGAAATCGTTATTCCCAATATTTACTATACAGATAATCTTATTCCAAACGATAATTCATACCGATAATTCATTCGTTTTCATTCTTTGAACTTTCATACCCAAAACCCAAACAAAATCAATTTCTTTTTTTACAATAAAAAAAAAAAGCATTGTTTTAAAAAATGTCCCTAGTGTCTATAAATTAGTGGGTTTTGGAGGTACGGAACTTGTACCTAATAATCCTAAAACACCCACTATTTAAATTTATATTTTCAAGTTGAAAATTAAAATATGGCACTCCATTTTATTTTATTTTTAAAGTTTCACTTGAAAATTAATTATTTACAAAAAAAAAAAAAAAAAATTATCATTTTTATTTTTAGTTGGAGTCTCTTTGGTCAACTTTTGATTACATTTGAATTTTAAAATTGCAAAAATTATAAATTTAGTCCAAAAATTTTAAAATCGGTTTTATTTGATCTTTAAATTTTAAAAGTTACAAATATAATACCTAATCTTTCAATTTGGTTTAAAATTTATCGATCTACTAGATACAAAATTAAAATTTTAAAATGAATCAATTAATTTGGTAAAATTTCAAATTTATTAAAGACATAATAGACTCAAAAGCTTCCATTTTAGTTATTTATTTTGAAAAAGGACTTTCCCCAAGCATGGGGAAAAAAGAGGATAGACGAGTAGTCTCCCAAGGAAATAACAAAAGTTGATTAATTAAATTTAAAAGAGCACTAAAGGGAAAAATATATATAAGATCGGTAGTGGAATTATCATGTCCAAAATTTGATCTTTGGCTGCTTAATTGAAAATTATAGAATTTTCTGCTTAATACATTTGAATCCTAAATATAAATAATCTTGAACTATCTAAATTTTGCATTTTCTAGCTCAACTTTCACAAGTGAAGTTCAATCCTAAATAAAGAATTTCAACCAACCTAGTTTTACATTTACTCGTTGAACTTTCACACGGACACAAATCCCATTTGTATCAACCAATCGGACAAGATCTTCTAAAAGGTCAATAATTCTATCAATTATCTCTCTAATTCAAAAGTAATTAATCATGCAAGTTTACGTTCCCAATGAGTAACTGTTAAGAATCACGGATCTCCACAATGGTATGATATTGTCCGCTTTGAGTCTAAGCTCTTGTGACTTTACTTTGGGCTTTCCCAAAAGGCCTCATACCAATGGAGATGGTATTCTTTACTTATAAACCCATGATCTTCACTAAATTAACCAACGTAAGACTTACTCCCAATAATCCTCAACAATAACGCTATGGAATAGAGAAAGTTCTTACTGTTCTAATAAAATGATATCTAGGACATAACTTCCCATGTGGACGAAGGTTTGCAGATGAAATTAAATAGCAAGTAATCTTTCAACTACAATGAAACAGTAAAATAACAAAGACTTTAAAAGTAAAATATCTCAAGCTACAGATGTCCAGGCTTGCACAAATACTGACTTATATGGATGAATCACATATCCAGATTTAATCTTTGGATTATTAAGGAAGCAGTATTGAAGATTGGAATGAATTATGAAAATAACTTTCTCGATACTTATAGCTAAGTTACCACATATCTAGCCTCAGTTTTTTCTCTCTCATTAATCCAGTGTCATATACCCACTTAACCCAGAAAAAGTGGGTCACTATAAGAACAAAAAGAAAAATATAAGTTCATTCATATATATACATGTAACAGGCGTGGGGTGTTGGAAATCCCATGCAGTCGCACATTTATCAAAAGAATACAAAATAATATTAAATAAAAACTAGACAGCTACCTACTCATTAAAGTCACTTCAATCTTTTATGCACTTGTAGAGTGAGAGAGATTTATGCTCAAAATTTTCTCACACATGTAAGAGGAGCAAACTAAAAGGCATTATCCATTCCAGACAACTATCTCATTTTACTACATTTGTTTGCCAAGGAAACACGTTGGATACTAAATTTTAGGTACGTGGCCATCCTAAGTTAACTCATTTTCTTTTGAGTTAGGCATAATTGGTATCATATACATTAAATATAACACAAATAGACCCCTAGAAAATGAATCACAAACAAAAAAACAAAAAAAAATGCATGAATTTAGTGTGCACTAAAGCACTTTAGTTTACGCTTTTGTTCAATTGCAGTGGTGGAATATCCACCACACAGTCAAAGAAAACCATTTAATTCACAAAAGCCATTCTCTCTTTAAAGGTGGTATAAAAGGAAGGGGTGGCTGAGTTTGTTTTGGTGTCCGAAACAAAGCAAGTTGGTAAGGAAGGAAGAGCACAAGGATCAGCTGAAATATCTTTGCTAAGTCAGAGGACTCTAAACGAAGGTTATTATTTATATACATACAAGTTAGTTCATTTATTTTGCATCATAATGATAATTAGCCTCTCTTATACTATTTCATTAATACCTAAACTATCCTTTTTCTTTGCATAATACCTTCTCATATGTGTGTATACCTACATGCATGCATGCATGCATACATACATACATATATATATATATATATATAGAGGCAAGCATTAAATGGCTCGTAAGTCCTTTGTAGTATACCTTTGTGCAATATATTGTGTTTGTATGTGTTATGTGAAAATTTTGCATTGCTTTTTCGTGAGATTAATTGAGTTTTTGGTCCTTCTTTTGCTCTCTTTACAGGTAAGCAAATTTGGTATGTATGGGCGGATGGAGTTTTGTCTATGGTGTATTGAGTTCCTTTGCAATCTTTTTCTGTAGGAATTTGTTCATTTTGTTCACATATTAATGTGGTCAACTACAACCGACGAAAATAATAATAATAATATGATTATATGATTATTAAATTTATGTCTAATTCGTATGGTAAGAATAAAACACAATTTAGGAACATCAGAGTTTAACAAATACAAATATTTTAGATTCTTTTGACACATGAAAATTCTAAAACTTCTCATCTTCTTCACCAAATCCATCTGCTTAACCAACGATAGAAATGAACTAAAATAAATTAATAAAAACAACCCCTAATAATAAAATCAGCATTGGTTTTCTTTAATATTTAAGTAGGGTTTTGGTCACATCAACTTTACATAGAAAATCTAAGATCTGAGAGTTATTTGGTGTAGGAAACAAACGTAGCATTCAGGCTCATCCCCATATAATAATTACTTTGTTATTTCATGGGCTGTTTTCTTTCATTCTTCTTTGATCCTCGTAAATGAACAAACTGTCAGAGGATGCTTAACTAGTTATTAAATATTCTCACTACGGCCACATCCATGGAAATCTTTATGGAGTATAATTAATAAACAACTCTATGGATTCCTTGGGTCCCATTTTTTCCTATGAAATCTCTTTAATCAAGGATCAAAACTCCATATTTTGAGGTTATCTGGGGAGGATTTCAGGAAAACTATTATTATTCAATTACAAGCTAGCTAGGAAGGTTCCCCCATAATGGTCCATCATAGAAGCATATTTTTTTCCTTCTGTTTCCTCCTTGCTTTGGTGTAAACAATATTATTAAATTGTCATCAGCAGAAGGCAGATCTGGGGAGGGTTTCATATGCATGGAATGAACCAAGTGTTAAATATTTCCATGTAAAATTCTAAAATCAGAATCACATTCCTTCAAATGTACTTCTCAAATAAAAGAATCAATGTATATATACATCTAGGCATGAGTTCTTCACCTATTTTCCATGTTCGAATTCTGAAACTAGTGTTGGGTATGAACGTATCATTGACATAATCCCCTACAGAACAAAGAACTTAGAGAGGAACGGTTGGCTGAGAATTCTTGCATCGTGATTTACCCTGAACATCAGATTGTTCACTTATATAAGCTCTCCCTTGTGCCTTCTATATTACTTTTGACAAACGCACAGAGCTCTCAGCATTAGTGGTCCTCGGGGCCAATCCTACGCTTGACTCGTAACCCTCTCTCTCTCTCTCTCTCTATAAGTGTGTAAAAACTAGTTGATGTAACATACTAAAACTAGAAATCTTTTCATTCTTTCGGATGAAAATAGTGGTTTTATGCATGGTGTGTCAACTTCAAAGCCTTCAATTTCACTGCCATTTTCAAACTTTCTGCTGTTCCCTCGACATTCAAAACTTTTAGCTGTTTAGAATGTTTATGTACTTGCATAAATTTGCTTTCTAAAGCTTTCAGATCTTCTATTCTGGGATCGGAATTCAACAGCCTCAGTTCAGTACTACAATACTGCAGAATCAGAACCAGAACCTTAGTCTGACCACACGAGGGATCAAGCCGAAGATGCCTGTTAATGTTTTCTTCAAAGACGCAAGGTGCTTTTTCATGTTCCAATCAACTCTCTTCTTAAAATGCTTGATGCTCAAATTTAAATTGAAAATCCCGATTTGAATCTTCCAATCAAAACTTGTAATCTGGTTCATGTGGCTATTCAATGAGGTAAGTTCATACTATGCCACTTTTAAAAAAATCTCTTCTCCCATCCGGGGATCCAATACTAGAGACTCTTTTCAGACCTTGGAAGATACTTTTCTGCCCTTTTCAACTAATAACTAGTATGTTTTAAATGCAAATACATGTAGACGTGTTTTCAAGTTTGACACAATTGGTCGAGAGATCCTGGAAATTGCACTGCCTGCTGCTCTAGCTGTTGCAGCTGATCCTGTAGCTTCTCTTATTGACACTGCTTTCGTCGGCCATCTTGGACCAGTGGAACTTGCTGCAGTTGGAGTATCAATTGCTATATTCAATCAAGCTTCAAGGATTACCATATTTCCACTTGTAAGTATTACAACTTCTTTTGTCGCTGAGGAAGATGCCATTAGCCAGGCTGCCACCAAAGCAGCAAAAGGTGACAAAGGGAAGTGCTTGGCTGATGATCATTCAGTGAAAGTGAATGTGCCAGAAGAGCATGAGCGCGAGGACAGTGAAAAACTTGCAGCAAAACAAGACTCTGTCAACATGAATCACGAGCCAACAAAGAATATTGTCTCCATTGAACAAGGTGCAGGAAAAGAAAACAAAGAGAGCTCTTCAACAAAAGAGGGAACAGAAGAAACAGGTCCAGATAATAATGGTGCTCTTCAAGATTTGGGAAAAGGTAAAGCAAAACTTGATGGTTACATTTAGGAGATTTTAATAATTTTGATGAGTACTACCCATGTAATTTCTGATTTCCTTTCTTTTTTCTACTTTTTTCCAGAATCGGGTGCCAACGTAATCAAGTCTACCGCTGCTAAGTCCAAAAAGAAAGAAAAGAAGCAAATTGCATCAGCATCAACAGCTCTGATATTTGGCTCAATTCTAGGTCTCATGCAAGCCATATTCCTTGTTTTCGGAGCCAAATCTTTACTGAATCTAATGGGTGTAAAAGATGTGAGTGCTCCCTGTAACTTAGATGTAGTTCCGTTTTAGATCAAATGTCTTCCTCTAATATTTTGGGACTTTAACAAACAGAATTCGCCCATGTTAGCCCCTGCTCACAAGTACTTAACATTAAGATCAATTGGTGCTCCTGCTGTTCTTCTGTCATTGGCCATGCAAGGGATCTTTAGAGGGTTCAAGGATACGAGAACTCCCCTTTACGTTATTGGTAGGCCTTGCGTTTCCCTTTTTCTCTACGTATAGTTGAACCTAGTATATCAATCTCCTATGACTAGCAACCATTTGTTTATATGCCTCTATGTAGTTTTGGGATATACTGTAAACATCATATTGGATCCTATTCTCATCTTTGTGTGCCGTTGGGGGGTCAAAGGTGCAGCTGCTGCTCATGTTCTTTCTCAGTAAGTTTCAATTTCTACGCACTGCCTTGTAGCTGGAATCTTACAAACTTGCTTAAAAATGGCATAAAATTCTTGTCTTCACATTCCAAAAAACTTCTCTGAGTCTTACTTCAATCCTTCCAGGTACTTTATTGTGTTGGTTCTCTTCTGGAGACTGGTGCAAAAGGTCAATCTCATGCCTCCAAGTCTTAAAGATTTGCAATTTGGCCGATTTCTTAAAAATGGTAAAAAGTTCCTAAACAATTCCTAACTCGATACTCCAATACCAAGTAAATAGTGAGATACCTTAATCTTTAGCTCTTATTGAACTTTGAATGGCTGGGAACAGGAGGGCTCTTGCTGGCAAGAGTTATAGCAGTCACCTTCTGTGTGACTCTAGCAGCAGCACTGGCTGCAAGGCTGGGTCCAATTCCTATGGCTGCATTCCAAACTTGCTTGCAAGTCTGGATGACATCTTCTTTATTGTCTGATGGTTTAGCAGTAGCAGGACAGGTAGTGAAACAAAAGCTTAATTCCCTTAATATATATGTTTGGCAGGGGTGGGGGAAGTCTTTTAGTTATCTCTTTTATGGTGTATGATTCCTTTTCTTGTTCATTTAGGCAATTCTAGCCAGTGCATTTGCAGAGAAAAACTATGAAAAGGCAACAGCAACAGCTACCAGAGTATTGCAGGTAAGAAATGAATTCGAAACTCACAAATTGGAGAGCATTCTCTTTCTGCTTCAAAGATAACAACACATAGCCACAGTCGCAGAGATCATGAGTACCATGCACTTGCATAACACAATCTGCATCATCCAGAATCAAAACGGATAGATTAATACAGGCCATATTTCAGAACCATGATTATCTATAATAATTCATTCTTCTATTACCACAGAAGAACAAAAACTCATCTCCTCTAATCAATCTAAAACATTTTATTGGACAGATGAGCTTTATTCTAGGTGTTGGACTCGCTATTTTCGTCGGAATCGGAACATTCTTCGGAGCAGGAATCTTTTCAAAAGACATTCATGTGCAACACCTTATACATCTAGGAATTCCGGTAAATAAACAAATATAGAAAATCTTCATCCTTACAATGCCATTGATGAACTCCTCTGATTCTCATCTTTCTCTGGAAACCCATCAGTTCATCGCAGCTACACAGCCGATAAACTCACTGGCGTTTGTCTTCGACGGAGTGAACTTTGGAGCTTCAGATTTTGCGTACTCCGCATACTCATTGGTAAGTTCTTCAGGATCATCCTCCACCTGCTTGCGAAAACTCCTCGATCTTTACTCAGTTTGCTCATCATATGCTTCAGGTTCTGGTGTCTATTGTGAGCGTTGTATCTCTGTTTCTTCTCTCCAAGAGCAATGGCTTCATCGGGATCTGGTCTGCTTTAACCATCTACATGTTTCTGCGTACGTTTGTGGGCATTTGGAGGTATTCTTTTAATTTTAATTTTTAATTTTCAATAAAATAACACACAAAATAATATAATAATCTTATTTTTTAAATACTTATTATTATACGTATTTCACGAAATTATTTATGAGATAGAAACTAAATTTTAACCGTATCATAACTACGAGGGTCAAATTTGTAATTTAACCTTAATATTATTATGAAAATAGATATATAATATTTGAGTATATTTAATTTGTTTTCTTATATGATAACCTTGTGAATTTAATCTCATAGTTAATAAATATTAAAACGAATTAATATATCTATTTTTTTTAAATATTTTATAAATGTTTTAAAATTTTTATGAGAGAGAAATTTGTTAAAATACTGGGCGAAAAGCTGACATGGCGATAATCTAGAATGACTACATATTTTCTTAAATTAATTTAAAAGAACGACATTTTGTCATGTTAACGGACGTTCTATGATATTTTTTACTTAGATGGTAATTTTAAAATATTTATAAAAAGTAATATTATAATTTTTTAAATAATATGATATTTTTTAAAGAAATAAATTCAAGAATATATATTTTTTTAATAATTTAGTCCAATATTTTATAAGCTCAAATTTTAATGAGCTAAAAACTCTAAATTTATTCGAGTAAATTTAGTTATTTTTTTTATAAAAATAAAAAAATAAGCGTTGTTTATATAATTGCAGGATGGGCACAGGAACGGGACCGTGGCGTTACCTGAGGACCCAAAGGCTTCCCTAAGGACATACTCCATACATTTTCGAGTTTCATATCAAACTCTTATATTATAAGCTATTAGTTTGTCACATTAGTACTTAAAATGGTTATATATTTTCAATACTCTATAGTTTGTATCATATCAAACTCTTATATTACAAGCTATTAGTAAAGCACTTTAAGCCATTACATCCATTTATGGTAAAACTAGCAGTTGATTCCACACTCCTCGACGTCGGGACCTATGACTGTTGTAGTGAACGGATCGATTCTTACCCATAACAACGAGAAGATGGAAGCAAGTAGAATCGACCACACGACGACGATGGTCGGCGTTCTGTTTTGACGACCCATTAAACCTTTCAAGAAGGGATAGAGATGGATGATCACCCAAAAGGCAAAGAATAGCTTGCCAAACAACGGTCCCCATGATTGGTATCCGCTGTTGATTGCATAAGATATGCCTGCAACAACGCCAACCAGGTTTACTATAAGGAGCGTAGTTGGTGGAATGAGAAGAGTTGTCCATTTGAACAAGTAAAGCTCGGCGAAGTCGCCATCTTCATCCGATGCCTTGGACGTGACGGTGAAGTTCGTGTCGATTCCAGCTAGAACCTTGAGCAAACCTTGGAAAACAGCAAACAGGTGAGCTGAAACGCCACCGATCACCCAGAATTGTTCGTTTCTCCACCACTCGTCGATCCCGACTCCGCTCCATCTCATCTCGAGAATTCCCGTCGCGAAGATGGAGAGGAAGAGGGATATAAACCATATACTTGCAATGTTACTAATCTGCAAACATATGGAATCAAGTTATGAAGACTCATTAGTGAACAAACATACTGTCGACCTAAAATTCGGGTTTTTTTCGTTATGTCGCACCTGGGGAATAATGAATTTGTTTGTCAGCAGACACACGGCTGGTAACGTACAGTACATGAGAAGAGGAACAGCGGTGATCGGATAGATTGTCGTGTTCACATACGCAAACCTTTCGAGCCATTTGAGCCTTCCACCATAGCCATACCACATAGGGCAATGCCTACTCAGAAGAATCTCCACGGAACCGAGCGCCCATCGAAGAACTTGGTTTAGTCGATCTGAAAGATTGATAGGCGCCGACCCTTTAAAGGCAGGACGTTTTGGTATGCAGTAAATCGACCGCCAACCACGAGCATGCATTTTGAACCCTGTAAGGATATCTTCAGTGACAGAGCCATAAATCCATCCAATCTGCAAACAGACAGAACAATAGCAGACAATGCATCATATGTATTTTGACATGTTCTGTCTGTTTGGAGCAAGAAATGCAGCAAAGTCGACGAACCTCAGATCCCCAGTCGGTTTTGTCTTCATATCCGCAGCTGATAACATGAATAGCCTCCTTCAGAAGAGATTCAGGTGTTGCAGATTGAGGAATGCCGCCGTTTTCCATGAGGGTCGAGGCAACAAAAACAGCAGACTGGCCAAACCTTTGCTCGAGAGTCATATGCGACATTAGCAGTGCCTTCTCATCGTCATATCCAGCACCTGTACACGTAATCTCTTGTTAATTTGTCATAGACAATCTATGTGAGATCCCACATCGGTTGGAGAGGAGAACGAAGCATTCTTTATAAGGGTGTGGAAACCTCTCCCTAACAGACGCGTTTTAAAAACCTTGAGGGGAAGCCCGAGAGGAAAAGTCCAGAGAGGACAATATACGCTAGCGGTAGGCTTAGACCGTTATAATCCAATAATCAAATAGTTTAAAACTTGGGTAATGTTCCAGCGAGGAAGCTAAGCCCCGAAGGGGGTGGACATAAGACGGTGTACCAGCAAGAACGTTGAGCCCTAAAGAGGAGTGGATTGGGGGGTCCCACATCTCCTAACGGTGGGTTTGGCCTGTTACAAATGGTATCAAGAGCTAGACGCCGAGCGATGTGTCAGGGAGGAGGCTAAGCCCTGAAGGGGGGTGGACTCGATACGGTGTGCTAGCAAGAACGAGTGCCAGCGGGGGTGGACATAAGACGGTGTACCAGCAAGAACGTTGAGCCCTAAAGGGGAGTGGATTGGGGGGTCCCACATCTCCTAACGGTGGGTTTGGCCTGTTACAAATGGTATCAAGAGCTAGACGCCGGGCGATGTGTCAGGGAGGAGGCTAAGCCCTGAAGGGGGGTGGACTCGATACGGTGTGCTAGCAAGAACGAGTGCCAGCGAGGACAGTGGGCCCCGAAGGGGGGTGGACTGTGAAATCCCACCTCGGTTGGGGAGGAGAACAAAACATTCTTTATAAGGGTGGGGAAACCTGGTGGATTGTGAGATTTCATACCGGTTGAGGAGGAGAACAAAACATTTTTTATAAGAGTGTGGAAACCTCTCCCTAGCAAACGCGTTTTAAAAACCAACCCGAAGTGGAAAGCCCAAAGAAGACAATATCTGCTAGCGGTGGGCTTGAGCCGTTACAATCTAATAATCAAATAGGACAAAATCTAAAGGAATCAGTATACCTTCAACGACATCTTCAACGTCATCGAGATTGAAAATTGGCACTGTCGGGTCCACGTGCTTGTTCGACTTCTTCTTGTCTGGACTCTTTTTACTTGATTTTGAATTTTTCTTTCTCGATCCACCACAGAGTAACGACAGAACCCCCGGTTTCCGATGCTTCGGTTTGAGAGGAGGTTCGTAACCATACAGTGCAGTTCTATTGAAAACACATCCAGTACCCACATAAACTGGACCTTGAATACCATCTAAACCTCTTAAATTTATCTGAGACAATGAAATCAAAGGAAGAATGAGAACCCAAATGGACTACTTGAATTAAAAGAAGAGCACAGGAATAACTTACATCAAAGAAAACAGTATTACGGTTGGCGTATCGATCGTTCTTATCGATACCGTCAAATCTTTGAGGAAACTGAACATAACAGACATATTTTCCTAGGTTTGGATCCATCATGAAACACATTGCTTCCCTCAACGCCTTGCTATTGTTTATGTAGTGATCACAGTCGAGATTCAACAAGAATGGGCCATTCGTAAGAACAGCTGACACCCGAACCTGCAGCGATATCTTGAACGTTATTTTACTGTAATTTAACGCTCATTAACGTGAAAAAAGATATCATTTTTGTAGCTAGTTAATACTCACAAGAGCGTTCATTGCACCGGCTTTCTTATGATGTTGGAATCCTGGACGTTTTTCACGAGATACATAGACTAATCGAGGCAACTCGTTACCTTCAGAATCCAGTCCACCGTTCTGGCCCAAGAAAACCTGGATATAAATGGCACACAAGGTTGTATTTAATAAGAAAATGTGTAACACTCCAAGCTCACTGTTAGCAGATATTGTCCTCTTTGGGCTTTCCCTTTCGAGATTCCCCTCAAGGTTTTTAAAATGTGTCTTAGGGAGAGGTTTCCACACCCTTATAAAGAATGTTTCGTTCTCCTCTCTAACCGATGTGGGATCTCACAATTCACCCTCCTTCGGGGCCTAGCGTCCTTGCTGGTACACGGCCTCATGTCCACCCCCTTTTGAGGCTCAGCCTCCTTGCTGGCACATCGCCCGGTGTCTGGCTCTAATACCATTTGTAACGGCCCAAGCCCACCGCTAGCAGATATTGTCCTCTTTGGACTTTCCCTTTCGGGATTCTGCTCAAGGTTTTTAAAATGCGTCTGCAAGGAAGAGGTTTCCACGCTCTTATAAAGAATGTTTCGTTCTCCTCTCCAACCGATGTCATTTGATTATATGTTTGCATTATGAAAATGATCCGATGTAACTGGCTGAGGTCAGTAATAATTGAAAATAGATTACCTGGATCATTCCTGGATGGTCTCTAGTATTATTTCCGGGCCATGGCGTTCCATCTTGCATAATCCATCCTTCTTCGGGAACCTTCTGCGCCTTCGATACCAGGCAGTTGATCCGAACCTTAAACTCCTCGTATTCTCTCTGCAATAAAGTGAGGGCCAATAAAATAGCTTCCTCTATCAAAACTTTGTAGATATTTACAATTTCGGGTGGTTGTTTTTCGGGTTTTAGGCACTACCTTCATCGCTCTTCGATCTTTGACAAACGACGGATGAACTTTATCCTTCAAGTAATCAATTTTCTGAGCGAAGTACCATTCGGGAGCCCGAGGCTCAATGCTGTACTTCTTGCAGAAAGGCACCCATGACCTTGCAAACTCTGATGTCTCAGATAATGCTTCAAATGTCAACATGGCAGCTCCGTCATCAGAGACGTAGCACGAGACCTTGTCAACGGGGTAGTCAACAGCGAGAATGGATAGCACAGTGTTGGCTGTGACAAGTGGAGGCTCCTTCAGTGGGTCAACTGTACTCACGAAAATGTCAACGGCAGCAAGCTGTGACGGTTCTCCTTCCCTATCATATCTATGAAACATACAAATTTCATTGAATTACGAAACCGTTTCGACAATGAAAATAGAGTGGAAAATAACTTTTCCTACCTTAATGCAAGCCGATCGAGATATGTCTCACGGTTTACAGGAAACCACTTCGGAAACTGATCTAATATCCAGGATATTGCAAACCAGATCTCACATATAACAGATACCAGCCATAGAGTGTATGCATTACGTACAGGATTCGTTATTCGGTAGTGCAAGAAAAAGCAAATAATCACGAGCCGAAGAACAATCACCAATCGGTAAGGGTTTATCCTTGATGATGGAATAGAAACCTTTCGCGAGAGAGGCTGACGAGCTTCATCGTTTCTAAAAACGAAAGGAGTTGACATGAAAAACATGAACTTTTTGCATACTATATTGCTCATTTCGAAAAAAAACTTACAATAAGGAATCATCGACAAGCACGTCCGTGCAGGCATCGATATCTCCACCTCCCCTTTCAGATGCAGCATGGGCTGTGCTCATTGGAACAGCATTCTTCTCTTGTTTCATCTTCCAGCCATCGACTCTCTCTTTCCAAGCTACGTTGCCTAGCCCTGATGAATTATACTCCTTTGTAGCGTCCACGTCTCGCACATTAGCTGTATCGAGTAGCAACCAAGAATCTCCAAGTCATTTATGATACTTACATACACCCAACAGCATAGATAGATGTTACGTTACGAAAA